TCATAAAACTATGTATCAGTGGCATTTTCCACAATTATTTTGCATCTTCCACACAATGAGTTAGACATCACAAGCAAGTTTGTCTCTTAGAAAGATAAAAATGCATCAATTTCTACCACAAAAACACCTTTGGTTGATAACAGATCCTGTTTCTCTTTGCAGAAAATTGGTGGACTCTTTGTGGAATAAGCAAAGCGAGGCAATTTGCACTTGCTAAGTAACACACAAGCATTGTAATTCTGAATACTATAATTTGTTCCAAACATTTTGCTCATCCTTAAATTCATAATATCTAAGCTGTTTCCTAGGCAAACAGGATGTCTACTTAGAAAGCAATACTGCAAGAAACAGAAGTGATATGGAAGATACATACATTATATATATACATATCTGTGTATATGTACACACAGTAAAGTAGCATTTATGCTAAGTGCCAGTACATGAAGGAAAGTGAGCAGTTAGGCAGATGGGGCCTGATCTTCAGCCTCTGTGTGATGATTATTTATCTGCTAACTTGGAACCCAGAAAATTCAGAAAAGCAAACTTGCTATTAACAGTAAATCTAACACCAAGGAACACTGCTGTAGAAAGGCACATGTCATGATGGCTTTGTATTCAGAGTAAAATCGTATTTAATACAATTAAAGTAATTACTCGGTCTAGTCAGCCCTGGCTAAGTCTCCATTGGAGTTAATGAGAAAATGATGGTAAAATACTTTGAACATGCAAATGTTAAATACTTCAGTTATTAATATTACTCTTTCAAATGCTTCAAAAGCAGGCAGGTCCAGAGTCCTTGGCACACTGCAGTGATGTAACATGAAAGATAAGGCCAGTACTTTTGTGGGGCTAGTTTAAACATGACACATTTCGTTGTTGAACTAATCAAGTATCTGCCTCAAAAATACAGAAAAGCTCAGGCCCTACTTTACAGTCACAGATATAACTTCTGTGATCCAACAGAAACTAAAGGGCCATGTCCATCTCACATCATCTAATACCAGCACATATAGACTGAATATTTACGGAAAAAGGGGAATGAAAACTGCAAGATGGAAATAAAGAAGAGCAGGAAAAATCTACTTGCTGTACTTCCACCTTCTGTAACAGAATTGAAGTCCCTCCAGCAGTGTCATCATGCAGAGTATTGAATCCTTGCTTGGTAGCAGCTTTAGGCAAATACCCGAAAAAGATAGGAAAGTAGTGATTAAAGGCATAGGGTAGAGGGAAGGAAATGAGACACTGAATTAAGAAAAGTTAAAAGGACTGGGTCGTGTTTAGTCTTGCAAAACAAAGAAAACTGCATGCAACTATATAAAATAGGTTATAAAAGAGAGCAACAACTGATTATTCTCCCTAGTCAAAGTTGGAACAAAAAATAATGATATGAAGCCATAAAAAGGAAAATGAAGGACTGAAAACCTTTGTAACTGGGGGGAACAAGCAGCCCAAAGGCTGTAGAATACTCATCACTAAGGGTATTCAGGCTTAAGTAAACACCCATCTGTTAAAGAATATTTTGTTATAATCCCTCCTGCTATTATGCAAGAAGATGGAACGAGAGTCCCAAAGTCTGGGGATTGGATACCTACAATTAATTTATTTCACGTTTTTGAAAGATTTATTTAGAACAACAAACATCTGGTTCTTAATCCCCCAATTAACTCTTTTTCCAGACTTAAGTAATTAATCATAGAATTCATGGAAAAGTTTATTTGCTAGGAATAGAGTAAAACAAATTGCCTACAAAATTCTACATAGCTAACGGAGCAGCTTAATTGCCCTTTTTTTTTTTTTTTGACATTTTAATTCAAAAAAATAAAGAATAGAAAGCCGTCCCTGTGCAGAGACCTTTGCAGCAGTATGTCAGCAGAGAATTACACAGCACTATAGACTCAGGCTCTCATTCATGGTACTGACCTCCTTTGAAGAGCACTCGGAGATTTAATGATGAAAAGTACTGTAAAAAGTGCTAGATATTATCATTAGTATTCAGGAGGACAGAATTCTGCGGCTTGGTAGAATTCAAAGAGACCTCCTGGTACTTATGAAAGCCAATACATTTTACAGAAGAAAATAGCTCTGACGGCAATGTTCGTGTAGGCTGGCTGACCAGAGTGGGGGCAGGCCATGGTTTTTGCCATCGTCTCCCAGCAAGGTGCGCTGCAGACTCACTTAGTATCAGTGAACCAATATAATGCCTGCTTATTTGTTTTTACCATTTCCACAATGTAGTATTTCAATCTATTTCCAGATACAAAAATAATATAGTCTAAAACTCCATCCCGATAAAGAAAATCTACGCTACTGCTTGCGTTCTCAGAACCCGACGCATTCTGGCACCCCGGTCGCCCCTGATCATGCTAAGGCACTTTCCTGGCTGCGGCTGGCCACCAGAAGACACTTATTCCACAAACGCCTCTTTGTTACCACCTCTCACACACTGCAGCTCTATGGATTTCCACCCTGCTGCTTTCAGCTGCTGTGGAGAAATTCAATGGGATGGAAAGTCAATCACTAAATGTTCTAGTACTCTGGTTTTAAAGATGTCCCTGCTTGCAAGAGTGGAACGTGCTGTTCGTTAGTTTATTCACCTGGCTTTGCCACTAGATGAATTTTAAGTAAACACCTTTTATTCTCATGAAACAGATTTTCAGTGAGTAACCAACACAAACGACATGCATTACGATTCTATCCAGCAATACAGAGTCTCAGTAACAGCTCTGAACATCCCTGCTAGCTTCGGGCAGTCTAATTGACCACTATAATTTACTTCAAGGTTAGCATCACTTGGACGGCTCTTGAAAACAGGTTTTTGTTACTAGAGCCTTCTGTACACATTTGCTGTGGTCAACCTTTTTCTACCTACTGATTTTGCCTTTTGTTCTGTGTGAAGAGTCTTAAGACATCAATTAGTAACATGAGAAACTGAAGTAATTTCCCCTTATGCTTCTTAAAATCTCCTTACATAATATTTCCTTAGCGGTACATTCTAACTTGATGGGTGCTTTACCTTTGCATCTTTCCACAATAAAGCTTTCTGCGTTTCTTATTTGATGTCTAAGCTTTATTAAATTTGCAGCTGTTCTAACATCTTTGTATATTTGTTAGTGCTACTAGAGATCATGAAATGATGTACTAAGGGGGAAAACACACACCTCTATTTATTTAGTTTTAGAAGAAATAATTCTGAAAGTCTTGTTAAAAATTACATTGCAATGTTTTGGGGTTGGTTTTATGGTGTTTTTTTGGTTTTTTTTTCCCCAGGCCATTCCAGACTCTTGTTTGTTTATTGATTTTTCCACGGTTCCAGCATACTTCAGATGACAACACACCTCCATATGGAGGCCAGGAAGATAGGTTTACCTTAACATTTAGAGCTGACAAAGTATTGAACTCATCCAGTCCAAGCCAAGTAAGCCCCTCCTACTTATTCCTTGCTTTCCAAATTGCATCTAAACTGTCTATGTTCCTTCGGACCACTCTGGGATCAGTTAATTCAAAGATCTATCACATCTCTCTAGCTACGTCTTTACTAGGGACAGGGAATACAACACAACAGGGTAGAAACTGAGGAACCATAGAGATAAACTTGTCTTCATTAAAAAAGCAACAATATCCAGAATAATGAAATACATTCTTACAGACAAGATCAAAAAACTGCAGCCTTCACAACTAACTTCTTTGGGGATGCCACAGCCAAATCAAGTGGTCCTAGGTATTACACACTTTGAAAGATCTTGTTCTCAACAATTTCTGATAATAAAATAATAGAAAACTTCACAACTTAAACAACCTTTGGGTGATAGAGGAACTACAGCCAGGCTGGTATCTGGTGCGCTTGTTTCCTACTGACAAGCATGCAGGGCCAAAGACTGGGCTGTCTATCAAGAGCTATGGCAGGGAGCTATTGTTGCATCAGCTCCACACGGTATCCTTAACAGCCAGCTAGCAATTACAAGTCTCTTACCCCAATAATTACAGGCATAAGAATAACTCTTGAACAACATTACATTCTTGTTCTGCCATGTGGCTCGCACTTCTCAGAGTGCAGTTGCACTAACCAGAACAAATACCATTTCTTCCGACTGAAATCAAAGTTGGCTGGTCAGGTCTGTTTGCCATTGTGTCCATTAAAGGGCTTGCACTGCTATTTTAGGTGTCAAGGAACACAGACAAACTACGATTTTTAGAAAATTTTAGGGTGCTTTCTTAAAACAAGTGATTTTTCAATGTGAACAAAGCATTTCACAGCAATTTTATTAAGACTAGAGAATTTATTCCCATATAGACCCATATACAACATAATGGTAACTTCCAGTGAGAAAGAAAACTATTGAAAATTACCATTACTGTGAGGTCTTCAGAAAATGTTCCAAGTATCATGTGAAAGACTGTGCTATTATTGCATGTTCTCAATATGTATTAGCAAATTAGATATTCTAGTAACTCTCTGTTGGAGATGTTCTTCTTGTATATGAAAATTTCACTGTCTGAAACCCCAACCTAATCAAGTACTAGCTACTACAGTTAGTTCTTTAGGAATTTTCTTGTCTTTCTCACAATTAGAATTTCAAGCAGTCAGTTAAGAGCTAAATGGTAACTGGAAGGTCTGACACTCCCAGACACAACAAAGCTTTACTTTTTCTGGCCTCTCAAACATGCATCTCCCCAGATAAGAGAGCTCTCCGATTCCAGAACATGCAAAATTCTGGCCAAACCTTGAAACATTTCCTCTCCGCTAAATGCAGGAATAAAACAGGAATAAGGAATGTAAAATGATTCAGCAAGGATATCAAATGGCAAATGTAGTAAAAAGCCATCTCACATGTATCAATTCTGTTGTCAGGGTATTTTGAACACAAAAGTCTTTTTATCACCGACTAAAATCATACCCCACTTTTATGGGCATGTACTGGGTCTGGGAACCCACACAGGGCTTACAGATGATTCTCTCAAAGAATAATATCTCCCCACTGTTGCTGAGACTTATTACTTACCAGTTGGGACAGCAGGATCCATTGTTGGCTTCTCCCAGGTATTGATCTGCTCCCAGGTAAATCCATTGGTTCCCAAGGCCACACTATAACCACAATTACTGTAGTGTTCATCAAATGAACAACCACCTAGAACAAGAAAAAAAGAATACATTCCTGTATTAATTATTTAAATCTCTCTCTAGGAGTTTATTTCAGTATTTTTTACCCAAGTTTACACAGGGGAAGAAAAGGAAAAAATAGATTAATTTCCTGAATATTAGATTTCAGGTAGCAGAGAGTGTATCCAAAAAATATTTTTGTACTTTTGAGACTCTGTATCCATTGGAAGCCTTTGTTTTCTTCCCTCCATGCTACTGTTTCTTAGATCAGTTCCCTTTATTTTAACCTATTGTCTTTAGATTTTCAAGGACAATGGCACATGATATGAATGTGTAGGAATGTTTGCATTGGGGTCCCAGTAGTCAGATACAAAAAAAAAAAAAAAAAAAAGAACACAAATAATAAACAAGCCCAGCATCATGCTATCACACTGATCTTCACTACTTTTCACTTTTAAGCCTTGAATTACACAAGGCTGGGTTATACCTACAGAAAGTGCAACCTTCCTTTTAACCATCTCTACACATAACAGCATGAAGCTCTGTGTGGCACATGACCATTCCTCAAGGTCTTTCAAGTCAGTACTTTTGAGTGCAACCCTACAGTTTCTCAACAACAAGAGAATAACAAGAAGTGGATGGCAACTAGCATTCACACCTTCCAGACTGTTGACTAAGTGATCTTTCCTGCTGCAACTCCTGAAGTACTTGGATGTAGTTAACTGTCATAAATAACCTGGCAGCTGCCTGAACACTTGTGAATCAAGGGAAACCCATGAACAGTGGAATGAAATTTTGTATTCCAATACAGATCTTTGAAACTTGTGTCACACAGACAAATCAAGCCTGCTTATTCCCTGGTAGGATATTCCTACACTCGTGTCCCTTACCTTACCTCAAGCACATCCCTCTTCACATCCACCCAACTTAGCCTGCCAAACATATTTTAGTACTGGATCCATTAGATTAGGCAGCCTGGGTCCCTTCGTTTAGACCTTAATCGTGCCAACAGTGTCTCTGTACTGCTTTGGTTTCCTCTTTTAGGGAAGCAAGGGTAATTTTTCTCTGCAGATACTAGTCCTCCAAAGTCCACTGGACACATCTAACAGAGCTGCAAGGACCGAGCAATGCTCAAGGCAACACTAACTTGCTCTGCCAACCAAACTGCCAATTGCTCTTGACACTAATCAGAGTTACATGCACAGAGATGTTCCTGACTCTTTACTCCTTCCCACAGGCTACGTTGCCTACACACACACAATAAATAGCCGGCTTGTGAGTGATCTGTGGTTCCTTTCTTTGCAATAAGGATTATTCAAGCCTGGGGACGTTGAGGCCGCCTTTAGTTTTCACCTATATCTTCTATTCTCTAGCTCCCAAGAAAGCCCAAACTTGTCTTAATTCCTATGGAACTCCTCATAAATGACAAACAGAAATATATATCATGTCACTAATATTTATTAAATCCTTATTCTGTTAAAGGACTTTATGTGCCCTCCAACAGCAACTGGCTTTCTAAGTCATTCTACAAAACTTCACATATTATTTCTATTTAAGTATATACTAGAAGAATTTGTCGGGTGGAGTACCTGACACCCCAAAATACTCTGTTGCTAAAGGAAAGTTTAAAGATCACACTTTCCCTAAAAAAAAAACCCTATTTAAATTTGATATATTGTATATTTTCATTATAAATGGATCTGACTATAGCAGATTTTATGACCCTTGCAAGCTTACCTGTTTCAATACAGTCTGCAAATATTTCCAGTGTCATTATTTTACAATATTTTAATAATTCTTGCTTCAAATTCACTGTACTTGTGAAGTTTCCTAGATGTCAAAATGATCAGGATTACACTTAAACTAATTTTTCCTAATTTTTTAAATTTAATTTAGGTGAAAAGGTTCAATTTTAAAATATTTAACATGCTCATTAAAATGTCTAAGGGAAAATAAAGGTATTCTGGATTGTGTGGGAGTATGCAATGCAACTGAAAGTCACCTTTTTCACTTGCTGCTCCATCTCCAAGCAGGGCATTTTTTTTTAATAGATTCACTTTAACAGCACAACTTCAGACATACACCATTTCCACACAACCTCTGTTCAGCACACTGCAGCGCACAATAACAGTGCTGTCTCTGAGCTATTACTTTGAACGGATTGTAAACAAATTCTCTGATCGAGCCAGACAATTGTGGGAGGCCTCATGTACACAGAAAATTGCACAGGTGCTGCTATGGAGTCCCAGAAGCAAAACAAGCGACAGTAGCAAAATAGGGGTAGCAGTGCTCCTCATTTAGCAGGGAATGTAATTGTCAATACCGTGGTATAATCAGCTAAGTAGGTTATTTTGTACGTGCTGAGGTAGGTGATGTTGGAGGAAAAGCTGAAAGGGGGATACAATAAGAATAACAGGAAATTAATTCGGAGTTTCCACTGATAAAAGACAACACCTGAGGAAGCTTTAAAGTGCCTTGTCTGAAAGTCAAAACTAACCTTGTACTGCAATTGGATAAGAAAGGGAAGGATAAACAGTAAAGATCATTAAAAGTAGCAGCAAGACATCCACATTTTAAAGAAAGAAAAAGTTAGCGGAGAAACCTCCAAATGCAGAGAGACAGGGCAATAAGCCAGAAAGATTCATTTACTAGAAGCAACAAAATTGGAATTTAGAGAGGTGAATTTGCAAGAAAGAAGGACAAGGAGAAGAAACTGGAGTCAATTTTAAGGGCTCAGACAAGCAGGCTGGCTGCATGAATCTCAGGTACATCTGCTTCTTGCTATAGTATGTCAAAAGAGGGCAAAATTCAAAGTGAAGTGAAGACTCAGCTGGGACCCAGAGCTACATTAACTTGTAAGCAAAAAAGTCCGCAAGTCCTCTTTGCCTATTACAGCGTAGAAGGTATTATGGAACAGGAAAGAAACTTCAGAGCGCAGAAGGAAGGAACCACAACATCCAGAATATCACAGATTCAGGAGTTACTCTAATAGTCACAGTGGTTTGTGTTCCTATCTGCCAACAAGGATACCATGGGTCATTTTAGGACTATCTGCTTTGCAGAATATGGTAGGCATGACATTACTGCTTCAGATACAGACAGCCACTTTCTGAAAAGCAGCAGCTGTAAAACTGCCACCGAACATCACCTCAGGAATTCAAATGCTCTTCCTCCATCCCCGCTGGAAGAGGAGCCAGACAGGCTGAGGGATGCTCTGCAGCACCATTACCACGTCACCACACTGGGATCCACCTCAGCAACAGCTCTGCCACCACCGCAGACAAACCGAGTGGGCTCCATCCATCTCTCGGGCCAGCAGCCTGGGCGAGGGCAGCGAGCCAGCCCAGGGAGCCCAGGCCCTGGCCACAGCAAGGGGTCCTGCAAACTGAGCACTCCCTGCACGCTCTGGTCCCTGCCGAAGGAGGGTAAATGGGGGTGAGGAGGAAGAGTTTGAGAAAAAGCATGGCAAAATGCCTGTTCTGTGGAATATTGTTGACCTAGGAGATGAAAGTGCTCTTGCGTTCAAGTGCGCGTTCAGGACAATAAGCTCCGAAGAACGCTTGCAAGGAAACACGGAGCAAAGCTGCATCTGATGTCTGATGGCACTTGCACAGCTGCTCCTCATGCTGACCTAATGGGATCGAGTGATCGCCTTTTCTACATGAGCAGCGAGCTGCAAGTTCCTTAGTTTAAACTAAAAATTTATTAATAGATTTTAAGGTGTCCACTTAAGTAAGGATATTAACTCCAAAAATGGGCCAACAGGCTAAAACAAGCAGATGTGTTATTTTCACTTAATAGGCTAAATATTAAGCATTTCCTAAGACATGCCACCTCTGTGGATACCTAAATATGAGTTATACCTAAACCTGCTGGAACATAAAGAGGGGGGCGGAAAAATGTTAGATCCATCCTAATACAAAATCATCCATGGCTGAAAACATAGCTGCTTGGCAGCAGAACAGGGCTATTAACATAGCAAAAATAATCCTCAAATTGGAAGTAAAAGATACCACTCAATGACATTAGGTACCAGGTTTGCATGTTAAAAATTTAGCCACAGTATCATAAAGCTGTTTGAGGAAAATGAAAACATTTACACATTCACCAAAACGGGGTTCTATGTCTTCACAAACTGTTAACAAGAATGAGGATTTTTAGGAAGCAAACTGGGATCCTGGAGTCTTTCCCCTGGTTGGCGGAAAATTAAACAGTGACAAATGCAGTTGCTAAGTGGGGCAAAAGAAAAGGAAATGGAGATGACTTTGGTATTGTTAAATAACACATGTGGTGTTGACCCTTTTCACAAAATTAAACCCAAACAAGAAAGCAGCTTTTCCCTTCCTGAAAAGGGTCATATTGAAGCAAATAACAGCTCACATTGGAAGGATAAAATATCCCTTGTTTTACACGGCAGGCTTGTAACAATGCCACTGCTCATCTGAGTGATGCTAATTAATCTTGAGCAGACCTATCATCAGTTACTGAGACTTGCCCCTGGATTAAATGTAAACCAGCCTTGCATAAATTGAATGCCTCCTTTGAATATATAATTGAATTTGCAGAAGTGTGCGCCAGGGGGGTGTTTAAATAAGTGCACAAATATGATAAAAAGAACTTCACGCCATTATATCTAATTCAGTAAGCAAAAATAATGGCAGGGCACGTTCCAATTAGTGTTTGATTTATTTATTTTAACAAATCCAATTAGTAGAATGTTTTATAAAGTCATCCAATGTCAAACTCTCATGGACTCACCAGATTAAAAAACCCGAAACAATACTGCTAAAAAGGGATAAAGAAACATACTCATGTGAGAAACCTCATCAGTTACCCTATGTTTCTAAATTCACACAGAAAACAGCAAGCATCAGACATAATTTGATTGAGCATTTACAGCATTCCCAAGGTGGGGAGGGAATAGAGACAGCAAGAACATCAGTCCCATTTGTGCCAGGCCTTTCTTCTGGGGCGCAAGTAGTTAACTTTCTCCCTTATGTATTAAAAAAAGAGAGGGGGGAAAA